TYTWMYTYYATATGGATCTGAACTGTGACCTACTGCCATTGCTAAAACTGCAGAGGTGGTGTATATGAAAAGTAATGAATGATACAATGGCGCTTCCTGCTTTAACACAGTAACTGCTAAAGCTGAACTGATGGAGTGAACGCACTTAATCCGTGCAACTGTACAAAATCTAAGTTGTACTTATTTGTACTAAAAATGGACCTGAAACAAGACGGTATTGAATGCTTCATTTGTATCAATTCAATTTAATTTGCGTATCGCATGCACGATTTACTAAATATCACTATTTAGTTTGTGCAGTTGCACGGATTAAGTGCGATCACTCTAAGTCGGCAAATTATCAACGTATAGTGCAATATCAGTAAAAGTTATCGTGACAAACTAGAGTGATCGCAGAGTGATACATTGTGTAACTGTACAAACTAAACAGTGCTATTTAGTTGTATTTAGTAAGTCGTGCATGCGGTACGCAAATTAAATTGAATTGATACAAATGAAGCATTCAATGCCGTCTTGCTTCAGGTCCACTTTTAGTACAAATTAGTAGATTTTGTACAGTTGCACGGTTTAAGTGCGATCACTCCATATAAGTGCTAAGAGCACAATATCTCGCACAATAGACAATAGAAAACAAAAGAATCAGCMTACAATTCAGGACAAATTTATAGTGTTTGCACTCCAACATGGGGAAAACATCATTAAACTTTATACATACCCTGATGAAATGATTTAAACAAACTGCTTTATTCTTCCCAGCCCATTTCCCAATGCGGTAATAAAGACGTCAGCCTTACATTATACTGACAACAACATCTCCAGACTGCCTTCCTGGCAAGATGGACGTTTCTGACCACGCATGGGATCTATGAAAGACAAAGACAAATACACAAATATGGCTTGCTCCGCGCTGCAGGTGTAGTGGGAGGATTTTAGACCTAAAACAAGCATATGTCTAGAGTTAAATGAGGTCTTTGGAAAATGGCTATTTCCGTATTTGCCTCGACAAAATACCAAAGTAATGGTGCACTTGAAAAATGTTTAAACGTTTACAGATTTGTCGCACTTATTTCCAAAATCGAATTAGAATACGTATAAAAAAAGGTCGTCTGTGAAAATGACCAATTCCACCCCCCAACCCCCTCCCCCCTTTGCAATTAATAGGCCCATCAAGAGCGTTTATAAAGTGCAGAGGGACGAGACCTGCGCTTTAATCAAGAAGAGGTCGTGGCACACTTTAAGGAAAAGAGATTTTGCCGAATGACATCGCATGTTCTAGGGGATGCATGGAATCCTGCTAGTGTGTGGAGATGAAGGCCATGACTCAAATTAGACCATGGCTTTCGAATTTTGTCTTGCATTGCATTAGACAGCAAACCACGCCCAATCGTCTTKCTGCCATGTTTCAATCACTCACATATCTAAATTGATCGATTCTCAATGAGTTGCGCGCGTAAACTGTCAAACGTTTTGTATGTATTCCATGGCCAATCAAATGTATAAATATCAGTGAACGTAATCGAATTTCAATTTCCTTATTCAAARATCAATTCACTATTACGATCGGCAAATACCATTTGACGTATTTCTGGATTTTTCAAGTGGACACATCGCCCTTTGTTTATCTACAGACGTCATATGATTTGTACTTACAATTGTGGAAATCAAACATTTCTACACTAGTACGATGACATTACCGAGTGGATATTTAAATCTCACATTACCTGACCATCTCTTAAAAGTATCCGTGAGACGATACAACTGAACTCACAGTTTATAATCTATTAACGGTGGATAGCTTAAATTGAAAATCTTAAGGGCCATCGACTAGACTATAATGTGTTCTATCTCATCTATTATGTGTGTTTTTTAAGTTTGGTATATATTTTGGTGAAACGGCGTTCACGATTTTTCTTTAATACTCCCTCATCTCTTAATTCATATTAAGTATTATACAAAAGATTGATTAACCAGTGCATGTAACGAATGTTATTAGAACCTAGKCATGTTAKTCYTYCACTGTTTGATTATAATTCCAAACAATATCGCTGGACATTTTTCTATTTATTTGAAACCACTCGAACAAGAAGTACAAAAACAACCATATTCAACCTCCATGTTGGATGAATGCAAATGGGATGCTGTTGAAGGCTAGATTTTTACATGGAGAACGCTTTCTCAATTTCTCAAGTATCACCATTGATCGCCATTCTGACCATCGATCAATGATGTAACTTATTTTTTAGTGAAAGTTTCATTCAAAACAGTTGTTTTCGGGCTCATATTGAATTAATATGGTACAAAAACCATTTGTGAGCGGTGATTGGATGAGGAAACACGATTCTCTATGGAACGAAAAWCTCTCCGTGAAACTGAGGAAAGCCGGGTAAAGTTTTATTCATTTTCAAAGTTGCAATTACAATCGAGGCAGGCAGCTTACAAGAAGGCCGTTTGACCGAGAAACAGTGACCATCAATTCAAACATGGCGGCAACAGCTGTAGATGAACGCCGTTTATTTGTGTACAGTTGATGTTCAACAAAACTAGTAGAAATAAAGCAACGATGTGTTAGACTTCAGCTTGAACGGTTACCGAGATCTTATCCGGTCTGTCTGAATGTTTTCTTTCCAGGTCTGGCGTCGTCATGGTCAACGAGTCCATTTCAATAGATTGTTTCCTGAATTTGTTGTCGCATGCCTGGGAACCATCGGTGAGAGATCCAACAGAACTCCTGGTGATTTCGACTCTACCAGAGCCTTGAATGCACACGAAGCAAATCAATCTCCTAAGATGTCTTCGAAATGTGGTACTATGGAAGCTGTAGATGGCGGGGTTGATTGCTGAGTTGAAGGCACACAGGAGAACAGTGGCCGGGTAGGCGATATCACCTCGAAATGAATCAGGGACGAACGCTGATAGAACTAATACGGTCAGCTCAGGAAACCAAGTCAGTGCATAGATAATTGTAACAATTAGGACCATTTTAGTGGCTTTCTTGCGCTTTTTGCGTAGTTTTTCCTCGGTGTTGCTACTGGTGATGATTTTCTTAAACCATAGTAAGTGGATGACTTGAGAGTACAAGGCCGCCATGGTCGCCATTGGAAAAACTCCAAGAATGAAAAAACATAGAATACTGTACACTCTGAACGACGTCAAAGAGCACACCAGCGTACAGAATCCCGTCTTTGGGTCATAACGTTTCCACGCAAATCCAACGGAATTCCACGCTACGGTAAACACCCAGCAGCCAGCTACTAGAAGCTTTAGGTTCTTGGTGATCAAACTGACGCCGTAGTTTCGTGGTTTGGCAACAGCAATGTACCTTTCCATCGAGATTGCAAGTAGGAATACCGCCGAAGCATATCCACCAATCCATGCAAGCGTTTCACCAGTTATTAGCGCGCATAATACGTCCCCTGYCACCCCTGCAGGGTGAATGAATGTCCCTCGAAATATAAAAGCAGGCGTAAAGAACACAAGTAACATCATGTCTGAGATGGCAAGGTTTACGAGRAGGWAGTTCATGGGTSTTCGCATGGATTTGTTGAGRAGGACGATRAGGCAAACCAAGATGTTCCCAGTCACACCAACTATTGTGATCATCGAGAAGATGACTTTAATGGATGTATGTGCACTCATCGTGGTGCTTGTATTCCTGAATGGGAAATCGTGGAAAAACGTCTTTAGTCGGTATTATTATTATTAGTAAGTAAAGTCAGGAATAATACCTTTGCGATATAGCAAAATAAACCTACGATCATAGCCCAAAATACCTTGTTCCATAGAAWTAAAAATAAACTTAACAGTTTAGATGTTGACAAAGAAATTCCGAGCGCGCTGCGGAAATATCGTAGTAATTTAGCTATAAGGGTTTAGTTTAGTATATAGAATGTATAGCTGAGGAAGCAATTGCTGCTGATATATATTTGGCTACATTTCTTGCTTTATTAGTTTTAGCTTCACAGATTTAGAATGTATAAATAAATCAAGTGTTTCACGCCTACTAAAGCCCTGTTTTCTTCTGTTTTGGCCTGTTTTTGTTATCTCTGTCTACAGCTGCACTGCAGGACAGCCGCTGGCAGAGTGCGAACAGTCCGTGAAACACAAATTAAGTAATTAATTTAATTACTTCTACCGTTTTTCAACAAGAAAAAAACGAATTTTTCTTCAATAATTTCATTTACTATTTTGATATTATCACATCAGTGCCACTATATATACAGATTCACAATGCTTTCCCTAAATATTATATCGAAACAGATCCGCAGATTATTCTGTTTATAATCACTACAAAGATGTCGAAATCAGTTCAAAACCACTAAACCTTCCTGTCAAGATTAAACAAACAAATGCAAAGCAAATAGATCTCATAATATTTTATAAAATTTCAGGATAAATCGTGAAAACAAAAACTTATCAAAACCTCAATTTAATTTCTATTGCACCTAAATTAATTAGACAAAATAGCCCAGTAATTATGCTTATAGTAATTATAATAATTTGCTTTTTTTACTGTTCAAAAAAAGAGCAATTCAAAATATATGCAATGACGACAAATATTTTCTGTTGAATTATGTTTAACTAAACAGATTTCAGTGATATTTCTTGYTGTAAATTACTGATCTCAAAACAGGCCTCGACGTGATATGTTTATAGCAAATTTAGTCAAATATTTTGAGATTTAAGAACGACTCACTCTAAATATACTACCCTGGACGGAATATTTTAACACAGCGTAAGTAAATAAAACTTCATACACTAACCTTTTTATTCCCGTCCAGTAGTATAAGTTCACTGTATAATGCGATCTCACAGCTCATAATATAATAACCCCAATCATCACTCCACACAGGAACCCCAGGGAGGTACCATAACTGCACGATACCGAATGTCGTTGCCATTGTTACCGTGATCAAATTCGCGTATGGAGCCACCTTAAAAATAAAGGCAAATAGCGTTCTACGTCCTCGTATGATGACAGAAAAAAAGCACACGGAAAAGTAAAACAAAAACGAGAAAGAGAGCAAATGACAGCATACAGAGAATTGTCCCGCAGATAGCCA